CCGCATCTCGTACAGCAATTAACCACTAAGAAGAATATATGCAGTGTATTATTTGTTGAAACTGTACTTCCGATTTGATTTGAAACTGTCTCATTAGCATCTGTTTATCAATAAAATTTTGAAAAAATAAAAAAATAAAATGATTCTATCAATACATATTCTCACATCTCCACATTTTAGACATGAGAATACTAACCTGATCTTTAAGAAATTTTCAGTATGTTAAATATTGACAGATGTCTTCTGAATGATTGAATGAGCTTTTCTAAATTATATATAATAAATTGTGTACTATTTTTTCTGTGAGAAAAATTTTATGATAAGTAAAAGTGCAGTTAGTCTACCTGCATAGGCTACATTTGAAAGAAACTTTAAAAATGGAAAATAAAGAAATGATTGGCCCCAGAGACTCCACAGTAGTTTAGGGAAAGAAAATAAAACATTTAAAATTGGGCCCAAAGTACAAAAAAAATGTATTCTTTATTTTGGAAGTGAAGAATATGTGCTTCCTGATTTATTCCTTACAACATTAAAATAATGTTCTGATCACAATTTTGCCTTCTTTCTTTATGATGCATAATCTTTCTATCCTTTTCATCTATTGGTGTGGAATCTGGTATCCTTTTCTGCTATTATCATACTGTTATGCAATAATTTTTATAATCATGAATATTTCAATAGTATTTTACTATGTGCATATTTTAAAATAATAATCATGCTACTCTATAAAATATGAAAACAAGTTTGAACAGATAAAGTCAACATTACATAATCATCTGTGATGTTACTTAAAATTTAATATTTTACATTCAAAAAATTGTAAGTTCAGATATCAAAATCTTAACATGCTTTAATATCATTATGTGGTACAGAGAAAAATGGAAAAGTAAGAGTCATTTCTTGGGATAAGATTACAGTGACTTATAAGGCATACATATGAATTTTATGCTTCTTCAACCAGAAAACAACATTGATTATGTATGTGAAATACATTTGGATTCACAATTCTGAGAAACTTCCTACATATTTAATACACATATGTGTTTGCATAAAAATAGGTAAGCATATTATTGACAATATTTCTTCTATTTTTGTATGCATTTTGTTAACATAAAGCACATACCCTTCTATTTAAGGTTAGCTAACAGACTTCTCTAAATATCTTTAGAATTATTCAAATACATGATGAAAGGAAATACAAATTGTTGTACCATCCAAACATTTGCTTTCTGCTAAAATTCATGCTATGACTCTGTTACTAACCTATGAATATGAAAGTTTCAAATCCTTTCAGCCAGCACTTTGCCTGACACAGAATTAAAATAAATGCCTGTTTCAGCTTTTTGTTTCCCCAAATTAGGACACATGAGTGGCCTGAAGGATATAAAATTTCACTAGCCAGAGGAAACAAATAGACTGGTTTAAGGCACAAATCATGCATATACCAACTTGATGTGATTACAGACACAGAGTAGATGGCAAATAAGAAGACAAATGAAGCCACAATTAGCAAGACCTTTACATGAACCTTTGTGCTGAGATCTTGGAATCCTTTGCCTTGGAGCTTCATCTTCTTGAGATGGCTAATCAGGGAGGAGATTAATAGAAGACTGCAGGTCAAGGACATCAAAAAGGGTAGAAACTTTACTAGCATGAATAAAATTCTTCTGGAAAGGTATATACCACCCTTCAGTTCAGGCTTCCCAGTCACATTCTCTAAATATCCTTTTATATTCTTAGTTTCATACACAGGTGTCATCATATAACTAAAAGGCAGGAACACCAAAGCCCCCCAAAAAATTACTAAACTGACTTTATTAACTCTCTTCTTTAGGTAATGAAAAATAAAGTTGGAGAAATTAGTTATTTTGAGAAAGTAAAATATGGTTAAGATAGTGGCAAGCCAAACATTAAAATGATTGTTTATTTCCCAGATAATCCAAGTAATATTTGCTACTTTAGTACAGGCAGTTGGATGAAATACTTTCAAAAACCAACCTGTTACTAGTGTCCACATCAAGCCAATCCTGGAGACAGCTAGTGCAGTAAGAATCCGATCAACTACAGAGATCCTTTTCCTCTTTACCCAGTCAGTGCAGTTCACCAGGGCTATGAATGCATTGGCAAAATTTCCAATAACAAATTCTGCAATTATTACGGTGACCAAAATGTTCCATAGAAAACTTCTCATGTCTAAAGAAGCAGAAAAAAATCAAGACATCAGTTATTCTGATTCATTTGTTATAATGACTTTGAAATCTATGTGCCCCTGACTTCTGGATGGGCCATTAGCTGCTTGCTTCTTCTAAGTTTTCTGACCACCGTCAACAAGCAAACCCTCAGAGGATGAATGCAGCAGATGAATTTAGTGCAGGATTTATGGGAAGCAGTGATTTCCAAACAGCTCAAATTAAATTTTCGTATGATCTTCAATGGGCTGCTGTATTGCATGACTGAATTTAAAGTGAAAGCTAGATTCTCAGTTGGTAGCATGCAAATAGAGACATATTGTCTTTCACTGTTTTGCAATTTTTCCATATTCAACCTGCTCAAAGCTTGTGTTCTTCTCTTCTATTTTTTCTTTTTTGTTTATTTATTTGGTGGAAGTGGGAATTGAACTCAGGCCCTTGTGCTTGCCAGGGAAGCACTTATTCTACTGATCCTTCTCCCCAGCCCTAAAGCTTGTGCTCTTCTAAGTTGCTTTCCTGATAGCACAATATTTGACTCTGAAATTAATGTTTAATTAAAAAAGATTATCTAGTGTACTGTGGTTACTATAACACTAGCCAATATTTGTTGATGTTCATTTATTCTAGCCATTATTCTAAGCACTTTACTATTTTGGTTTAGTAATTCTTACAAAAAAAAATGGAGTATGCTGTTATATTACCCTTCTACTTTTAAGCTATCTTTCCTCTTGTCATTTCACGTATCAGAGCAAAAATATGATACCTGTGTTTCTGAGTCTGGCTCATTTCTCTTTGTGACTGAAAATACTCCATTGTGTTCATATTCTCAATTTTCATTATCCATACATGCATTGCTTGGCAAGTAACTTGATTTCATAGCTTGGCTGTTGTAATTTTGCAATAACAAATATAGGTATTGAGATTATATCTGTTGTATTAAAATCTTAATTCATTCAGATGTATACTGCAGAATGAAATAGCTGGATCATATGATGTTTCCTTGTTGAATTTTCTAATGAACCTCCATCAAGTTTTCCATTCTTGCTATAATTTCTAATATGACTGTGCTGTTTCTTTTTTATTGGATCATCACCAGAGTTTGTTAGTTTTTGTGGGTTTTTTTTGTTTGTTTGTTTGGTTTGTTGGTTGATTTTATTTTATTCTAGGGAAGGGTCTACAGGGTGTTCAAGGTCTCACTATGAGATCGGACTCTGTGATCAGCCTGTTTACAGCCTCCCAAGTGCTGGGATTGCAGGCGCACACCACCACGCTCAGTCTTAATTGTCCTCTCAGCACCGCCCCCCTGGGGGCTGGGCCAGCTCGGTAGCCCCAGGAATCAAATCCCAAGTCCCTGTGCCTGCTTCCAGGCCCTTTAGTCCCCTGAGCTATTTGGCCGGCCCTAGTTTTTTTTTGTTTTTGATGAAGTCATTCTAAGTGAATAAAGACCGCTCCCCACAACACATCTAAGGTTATTCTTGAAATTCGTATACTAATCCCTGTAATTTTTTCTGTTTTTCTAATGCTTAATTTCTTTATATTCAGTGAAACAATATCAGAAAATTTCTTTGGTCTGGGAAGTGCTGCAGGCCCCACCAAACACAGAAGGAATTTCTTTTCAGTGCATGTTGTGCCAAAAATGTAAAACAAAGAAATGTCTTCAAAGCTGTAAGAGAGAAATTAAAATTAATTATACAGTAATTACAAATCCATTTTCATTTTTTATCTAATAATGCTCTTTGTTTTATCTACAAATTAAGATTTATATTTTTCCCTTCCTTTATGGTGGTGTCTATCTTCATTTTCTCTTTATAGTGTTTTGGTGCTTCTGTAAGTATTTTCTGCAATACTGACTTAAGACCATGAATTACTTTAATTAAAACTTACTTTGGGGTGTCATGTTTCTTTTTTAATCTTGAAGGGTAGCATTGTAGGATATAGTAATCTTAGTTCATATTGATAATTACTTTTTTATGATTTGAAGCACATCATTCCATAACCTCCTGTTTTTTATCATATTTGTTGAGAAATCTGCTATTATCCTAATGGATTTGCAGTAATTGTATAATTGATTTGGATTCCTTTCTTACAGATTTCTTTCTTACAGCTGCCAAAGGTTTGTTTTAAACTTATGGCACAACATGCTTTGAAGAAAAATTCTGATTGTGTCTATTGGTGCCTGCGGTACTTTAATTAATCTCATTTATCAGACTAAGGAAATTTTCTGCTATTTTGTACTGGATAGGTTTTCTACACAATTAATCTTTATTACTTCTGCATTGATGCTTTTGATTCTCAGGTTTTGTCTGTTAATGAGGTCTTGATGCTTTAGCACGTTTTCTTCCTAGTTTAATAATTTTTCTTTATATTTTCTGAATAGCCCAGTTCATCTATTTTGTCTTCAAACTCTCATATTTTTCCTCTGCATGATATATCTTATTAACTATACTTTCATCTGAGGGGTTTTGACTTTTGTTATTTTTGGTGCTGGGAATTGAATGCATGACCTTCTCTTGCCAGATAGGCACTTGTGCCACTGAGTCACACCCCAGCCCTTCATTTGAGTTTTAATTGATTTATCTTAACAAGTCCAAGGCAATAATTGAGATACCAATTTTTTTGGAGAATTGATGCATGCACATAACACATCTTCTTCTTGCCAACATCAGGTTTATTTATTTATTTATTTATTTATTTATTTAAAGTCTTTATCAAGTCAGTTATCATAAACACAGCTCAATAGGCAGGCTAACAGACCAAATAATTTTTTCATCCATGTCTATATTCCTGAGTTAAGTATTCTATTACTTTTATTAATACTTTTTCTATAAAACGTATTCAGAAATATGAACATTTCAGAATTCACTGAAATTTCCAAGCTTCAGTTTAAATAATACTTTTGTTACTTCTCTGTTCTAAATTTGACATTGGTATTATTGTGTTTTTTATTCACTGAATTAGAGTACAAGTCCTTTTCTAAGCATATAAAAATATTGTTATTACTTATTTCTTCCTGGTACTATTTAATTATAATGATAACTGTTTACATTCTGTGTCACTTTGAAATATACTGGAGATTTTGTTAATCAAACATTAAGAATCAACATTTATTGTTTCATTGAAAAGTGAAAAATTTGTTTGAAATTATTTTAGCCTCCTAATTGTAAAAGACTAAAGCTATTAAGTTAAACTTATTTGTGTTATTCACATCCTGTTCATTCATAGCAACTAATTCTAATTGATCTCTGTGTGTCTGAAATATTTTAAAATTTTACTGTACATAAATTTAGTATGCTCTATATTTTGAATGATTTTGACTAGGTTTTTCTATATTTTTCCACTGTTAGAGATTAAACCCAGAGTGTCATATGCACAACATCCTTACTCTCTTTATTTTTATTTTTTATTTTAATCTATCTTTTATCTTACTATAGGCACTCTTGAGTTTTCCAGATTTGAATGAAATTTTTTCCCATGATTTTATTGATAAACAAATAGCAATGAGACAGTTGCAAATCAAATCGGCAGGACAGTTTCAATAATTAACACACTGCATACATTCCTCCTAGTGGTTAATTGTTGTATGAGATGCGGACTGGACATCCTATTCACAAACACCCTTAGAACAAATCATTCTATTCATTAAGAGAATGTAACTATATATCTATCCAAACCACTTTGAATACACAGATACAATTGTCTGTACACTCTTTTTTTTGTTAAGTTCCATTATTTGAATATTAAATGTGTGTAAATTCAGCAAAATATTCCAAAATAGTCCAGTAGCCCATAATAGTATTGGGTCTTCTGCTTGACTGTCAATGTCAGAAATTGTTGACCTGAGTACCCCACAGCTCAACATAACAGCATGGCTTTACTTCCTATATTTCATTTTTATACTCTTCTGCTGGATGGCCAAGACCAAGGTAAAGCAGGACCTATGCAACAAGAGTTGTAGCTTTTGGGTCTGATAAGATCAGTGAAATCCCCTCAGGATTTATCCCAA